CCCCGCATACCTACAGACCCACAGCAGCGTCGCGCTGTCGTTCACAGCTTCTTGACACTGCTGTGACGGCAGCAGCGTCAAGGCGCTGCTGCTGTTCCGTTCACAGCAATGCTCAACGCTGCTGTGACGGGCAGCCGCACCAAGGGAACATGGGGGAAGGGGGGAGAAGGGGATTGCTGTGGATGGAGGGAGAAAGGGGGGATAGGAGGGAGGAGGAGACGACGGAGAAGGGGCATCAGGGAGAGGGTGAAGGAGAGGAGGAGAAGAAGAGAGGCGTCGAGCACGATAATAAAGGGAGGAGAGACGGGTTCTGTCAATTTAGGATTTGGGATTTTGAAATTTGGTGGGTGGGTAATAGGGTGGGTGTAATTTAATTTTATAATATCATAATTAATCAAAATAATAAAAACCTGAAAATTGAATAAATAAAGTTGAAACCTGATTTTTTAAAATGTCAAACATAATGCCTGTTATAGTGTAATTACCACTTGATTCCACCTAGTCTCTTTCCCGCTACTTTTCTTTGCTTATTTCCCCTCTTCTCTGCCAAATTTCTTTCTCGCGCAGTGAGTGCGTGTGTACTGTGTGAATTGCTGCAAATGATGAACTCTCGAGATATAGTGCTGGTTTCAACTGCCACAATATTTGGTGCGGCGGCCTCTGCAATCGCTTTTCGTCGATTTTTCCTCTCCAATTGCCCCAACAAGCACTTCTCTGCAAACGGCGTCGTTGACGGGAAGAAACTCTCTCCTCAGAACCCATATGATCCCATCAAACGAAAAGAGTCAGTCAATTACTTATACAGTAAATATATTTTTCAGTCTTTGTTGTACTTTCTGATTTTGATCAACTCAAATAGTGATAACAATAATGAATTCCAGTCTATGTTTAAATGTTGTGATGAAGGCTAAAGAAATATTAGTAAAGCAAGGTACAAGTAATTATATTTTTCTGCCTTTGTTGTACTTGCTAAAGTTCTTTTGCTATTATTGCTTCAGATGGAATATCTTGAAGTGCAACGCAAAACAATTATATTCATTTCCTGTCAAAATGCAGAAATTTGTCATGGGATGATTATTTTATGGCTATTGCATTTCTATCTGCTGATCGATCCAAGGATCCTAACAGGCGAGTAAGGAAAATTATCTTAAACGTAATTGCATCCATGTATTTAAGACAGAGGTAACTTGTGAATACCTTTACATTGTTTGGCATGCGAGAGTTCACGTGTAGAGAAGCACAAATTGACCATCTACAGTAATGTTGAAGTATTTACAAATCCCAACAAAATCCCAAGCATGACAGTGGAAGACTTGTTTTATTTCGCTGATGGACTTCAGCACTATTGGGTTATGATAGACTTGTTTCGGTGGGTGGCAGCAATTTTGAAGATAGAGTTGTTTAAGGGCACAACAAAATGCAAGAGAAGAACTTTGTTGGAAGTAGGAGATAAATTGCAAAGACAGAATGGAGAAGTCACGTCAAGGCACACCCTAGTCATAGTGTGGCTGGATAAATCCCAGTTGTTAGCTTGTTCTTCTGTGAACGGAAATGCCTGCTCTATGGACTATGGTATCAAGCTTTTTACTTATGTATCAGCAAATAAGTATTGATATGCCACTAGAACCGGAGCATCAGGGTGTGACACATATGTAACAGCCATGTTAGATGACATGTCTTTTTTCTTAATTTTTTAATAGGATACGGCGATGACACGACATGGACATGGCTAACCCTTTTCAATTCAATTGAAACAAAAGAAAAATATAAACGAGTCTATTGAAGAGATTAGGTTATGTTTGCTCAGAGAAGCTTTGTCTGCCAACTTCAATCATAAGATTGAGTAAGCTTCAAGAGAAAGATATCACGTGTACTTGCTGAACAAGCAACAGTTGACCTCAAGTTTCAGGCACTTGGCCCTACTTTAGTCTTGAAGTCTGGTGTTGTTTCTAAGGACACAGAGAGCGGTGCTAGCCGTGCTAGAGAATCTACTAATATGTCCAGAGATTTACCCCTGGAGACACCTTGGACATCTCATTTGGGAACATATTTCTCACGGTCAGTCTTCACATGTGAAACAAGATTCTTATAATGCCAGTGCCAGAAATGCATTCAAATCTACTGAGGGAAGTGTCTCTAGACATAAGCAAACATTATATATACAAAAGCACAATGATCCATCACAGAAGAATTTGAATGAAAAGTCAGCTCTAATTGTTACAGGCGAGGCACCGAAAGATCTTACTGATGTATCTGTTAACAATGTTACACTGATGGAGGTTGCTTCAAGCATCAGAGAAAGTGGCGAGACAATTGCACTGAAAACTCCCAATATCATGGCTGAACCCTCCACACATCAGAGAAGAAAAAGTCATAGAATTAGCAAGAATAAGCAGAGACTGGATGAAGCTGCAGTAATCTCTCCAATACCGTCAGTAACACGGGAGGAGACTAATCCTGCAAAAGAGTACATTGAAAATGGGAAGTCCAAGGCTTCGTTGTCAGATTTGGATAGCTCAGTCTCAGCAAAGATTGAGCTTGATGGAGGAGTACAGGCTTCAGAGGTGCAGGCTTCACATGAAGAAGAAGCCCATAGCAGAGTAAGCAAACAGTGGAAACCTCAGTCCCGCGGAATGCCACGAAGTCTACAGGCTAATAGGATGGTGGATAAATTTCATAGCAACGACACTCTTATGTGGGCTCCTGTGCGTTCACAAAGCAAAGTTGAGGGTGCAGTTGAAGCATGTCAAAAATCTACTCCTGAATCTGCTACTCCAGTGAAGATTGATAATCTGGTTCAGAATAATTCAGAAGGCAAAATGGCTGAAATGGAGAGATATGTTCCAAAGCCTGTGGCTAAGGAGCTGGCACAGCAAGGAAGTATTCAACCAGTGCCATTTTCAGCCAGTCCTGCTCCAGAAGAGGCTGCTGGTAAAGCACTATCTGATTCAGCTAGATCTGCAAATCCACCACCTACCATCTCAGCAACTGGAATTGTTGGGTCTGGTGTAGACGTCGAGGAGGGAGATGGCACGCATAACAAGCAAGGAAAAGCGCATGGAACATGGCGACAACGGAATTTTACAGAACCATCGAATAAGAAGAGTGTTCATCATGGACCATCTGCTACTTCTGACCCAAGCAAGGACATTCAAAGATCAACAGACCAAAATCAATTCATGAAGCATGAAGTAAATGCATCAAAATCTGAACCAAATACTTCCAGCAAGAACAACACATTAGATTGCAGTAACATGTCCAATGATATTGAATCAGCTGGAGCTAGCAGATCTCTTGCTGTGAACGATCAGGTAGGAATAGATAGAGGAAAGTGATATCTATCCAAGGGCCATAAAAGCATGGGAAAAAATAATGATCCTAAACAAATAAATATTGTTATTAGTGATTCTGTGGCTACTGATGTGAACCATACAGACAGAACTATTTCTTCAAAAGAAAGTCACAGCTCTGGGGAGCAAATATCATCCAATTGGTAGCCCAAGTCTCACGCGGATTCAGAAAATAATCAGTACTGAGGCAGAGCTTCCGGAACTGAAATTGTTGACATGGTAACTGATAGGGCTTCAAAGAGAGATCATTGTCCCCAGCGTAAGGTTCATGTTCCACCTCAAGATGACAAGAAAAGCTGTGAAGTTGATCGACACCATCCAGATGAGTCTGTCACTGAAAGTAACATGGCTGATGATCCAAATGTAGGGCATTATCAAGGATCGTTCAGAGAGAGGAAACCTGCTACACAGAAAGGACGTCCCTATTCCCTAACACAAGTTCCTGTTAGAGTTGGTGAATCAGCTCCTGCTGCCGCCAATACAACTGGTGAGCATGACCGTATTTTTTCATCTGGTTTTAGGCAGAACAGAAACCAGAACAATTGTTCTGGCAGAGGCCATGAATCTCATGGAGATTGGCCTTCAGTTCATGATAGCCGGCAACACAATGTAACTGCATTCCATGAAAGGCAGTGGCAGAATGTGCATTATGAATACCTGCCAGATGGGCATTATAAGAACAGCAAAACCGACAGGCTTGTAGGGTCTGGAGAGGGATCTAATGATGTTGCCTCAAGATACAGAGAGAGGAATCAGAGCCACACAAAGCATGGAGGAAATTCTCACAGGCGTCAAGGTGGCCCTGCCCGGATAGATTCTTGTCACGACTAAAGGGTGAAATTAGGCGTCCTTTTGTTTGTGAATCTAGTCTTCCAAATATTGACTGTTTGATTAATCAAGCATTCAGGTATTACCAGCATAGATTTATGCTATGTTTTAGTTTGGGCACGCACTTATGTAACCCGTTGTCTGATATCTCACATGCATTGAGCAAGATTAATATGAATCAGGTTAGGGCACACCATTATGGCAAGATGTGTGTTAATGCCAGAAAATGAGGTGACAATATCTTCATTTTACAATTGTAGTATCTGGTTTTGATATTATCTGGTTGCTATTTGTAAGCCGAGCATATTTTCAGCACCTCCAATCAACTCTTTAACCCATATCCCCACCCAAGCACCGGGTACCCCTTTCTCCATGTATGTATCTCGCTATGTTTGTCCGTACATGCATTCGTAGCATGAGAGTGCAAACTTCTGTTTCTCACCAATTTATTCTTTCCTAGGCACCTAACCCGAATCTTTTGGTCTTATATTTCTTTGTAGCCTAACATCGACTAAATATGAAATATAGGCACTTGGGGTCCTATCTTGTCGTGTGGAAGTATATTCGTTGCGCTCTCTTGAAGATTTGATAGTAGTATTGTTTAAGGGTGGGCAAAATCCGACCGAACTCGTCCAAACTGAACCAACCCGATCG